GCAGTGAGGGCCGGCTGAGGCTGACCGTGGATGCCCTGGGAGGAGGTCTGTCCCTGGAGGCGGGGTCACGAAGGAATCAGCGGACCAGGAAAGAGGCCAGCCGAGGAGGATGACCGGAGCTCCCATGACGCCCATCGATCAGGAAGACCCCAGCCTGTATTTCCCACTACAGAGGGGCCAAGCCCCTTCCTCGTGTCTATACAACACATAAGGGCACCAGGCCCTGCACTCGGCGCTGACTGGCTGCTCTGCCTCAGCCCGGCTGCACTCACGTTAGAAATAAACGTTGTGTTTGCAACCCCACCTGTCCTCCTGACTGAATTGAGTCTTCCCTGGACCTGGTTTAACAAGGCTCATCATGGCCACCCATGCCCTCGCCTACCAGCTGGCCTTTCAACCTTCCTACCCCAGGCTTGGGCCCTCAATTGGAATTACCAGAAGGCAAATTCCCTCTACCAGACCCTGCGGGAGCCATTGGTCACTGTGTCAGGTGACCTCTCTTGGCCAATTAGCAGGCACATGTTTATATTCCACGTGGTAGGTGGGGTGCAGAGCTTCCTGGAAATGCAGGGGGTGGGGGTCTCCAGGCATTTCCAGCTCAGAACTGATGGTGGGGCAGCGGGTGGGGCATCTCGGAGAGGGAGGGTAATGTAAGTTTGTTTTAGAACATGGAAAGGAAGATACAGGAGGATACGGAAGTTGGGATCCCTCAGGTGGAGTGGAGTGTACACCCAGAGGTGCACAACCAGAGGTGCACACGCATGCGCACACCTCATGCTAGACCCCGGCTCGCACAGGTCGTCTGTGGACGAGGCCGCTGAACAAATCCATGTCTCTTCATCCGGTTCCATGGAGATGGTCTCAAGCAGGCCTCCAGAGCGGGGCCATTATTAATGGGTCCCTGGATTCCCACCCCAGCACATTCCCTTAAAGGAATAGTACAGACCCTTGCCTAAGGGCCTGGGCCCAGACCTCCAGGGATCAGTCTGTCCTGGGGCCCCTGTCTGTTAGGGGAGCCTTGATTGCTGTCCCTGGCTACAGTCTGTTCCCCCCAGCCTCTCCTAGCCACTTTCCTTAGCTCATGCTGTTCCGCCTTCAGGTTCCAGCCAAGACTGACCTTGTCCAGAAAGTCCGAGATCCCAACTTAGCCCGAGTGGGTTCCCACCTGTGTTAGACCGGGTTGTCTGGAGAAACAAATCCAGAGACACGCATGTATGTATAAGAAAGAGCTTTCTATCAAAGAACAATTGTATATTAAGAAAGCGTCCCAGCTCAGTCTAGATCAAGTTCATAAGTCTGATATTAGCCCATGTGTCCAATACTAGTCTACACATTCCTCTTCAGACTCACGCAGCACATGAAATGATGCAAAATGCAGGAAGATCACAGGCCCGTGGGTGCAAAGTCTTGTGGACACATCTCCAGGGGTCTTGCAGGTCTCAGCAAGTCTCAGCGTGGCTTGTCAACAGGAAGAGGAGGCAGAGA